TGATTTAAATTCAATATATCGTCAGTCATCGCATTTGTAACATTTGTGCATACCTCAATGCAATTTTTCGATTCTAGAACTTCAGTTTTAAAAAATCCATCAATGGCATTGCATATATTTTTTTCGCTTGTGTATTCTTGCAAAAGACGACAAAATAACAATTCTTTATGGATGATTTCTTCATAAAAAATATCTGAGATATCGTAAAACTGAACGTTTTTTGAAACATCAGTTGTTTCGTCCACACCTCATTTCTTATATCAGTGAAAACCTCTTAAATTAAAATTAGGCAAAAATATTTTGCTTCTGGAAAAAAGAGACCCGTGTTTGATCGCTCTCAAAAGTCATCTAGTTTTATTCAAAAGTCTGTGTCAAAATAAAATTACTGATTTGCCTAATTTTAAAGCCTAAATTGTTATGTTTGTCTTTCAATTTGATTTACCTGAGTTGGTTAACAGATGTAATTAAATACATTTTATCTGAAATTTTATTGCATCCTTAAGGCAGTAAAAATTTATTGGAATCGATCGTTGCAAATTTCAAAGTTCTATTGACAACAGTGTTGCTTGACAAAGGGTACTTTCAGAATTTCACAGCCATATTTTACTTCCGTAAAGTATTTCTACCATTTTGATAGCAGTACATAATAGAAGACCTTTTCCAATGCGTATGTTTTATTTTAGAAATCAGGTAGGAAAACTATGGTGGAAGATATGTTCTATATTGGAACAGCGGACCAAATCTTATTCTCGACACGCAAGTGCAAGACCCTACGTACTATGCGTTTGCGCCCGTATATGTATTCTGAAATGCTATATATGTTAAAACTTCAATGTAACACCTCTATTATTATGCGCTTAGTTAGCCTGTTAAAAGACCTTCTGAAATTCACTCGTTAAGAAAATTTTATGATACTTTCACAACTTATGTACGCCGTAAGAAATATTCTTGTATCTATAAATACTCAGAGATGGTCTGGGAAAATCATGGTGCACCGTTACGCCGATCCTCATTAAATTATTACTGCCAGAAATTGTTCTGGAAATTGATAAAAACCGTGAATTCGGCGACGAAAAGTCTCATGAGAAAGCTCAGTTCTAAATTTTAAAACAGTCAGATAAAGAATCTTCTCTCTGCGTTATTTCATTTGATGATAGAAAAAAAAAAAAAAAAAAAAAGATTTTGAGTTCCCAGCCGAAAAAAATAAGTATTTTAGCTCTCGTTTCATACTTTCGAATAATGCATATTCCTATTGCGTCAGTATTATTAACTAATTCTAGTAAAACAACCATTAAATGTATTTTTCACAATGAAGAAAATCGTACATTACAAGAGTGCAACACTTTTAAGAATATGTCTGTAAAAGAGAGAAAAGTATTCCTTTCGGAACGGAAATGCTCTTCTTACGTGTTTAAAACGTCGTCACAAAGCTCGAGATTGTTGATGCTATGTTAAATGTTCTAAAATAGTTTTGTATCGATGTATCCAGGACTTAATGATAAAGCTGAACATCACGAAGACGTTCCTAATCTAAATACCTTAGCTAATAAAATTTTTTGTCAAACCATATTAATTCGATATTATTTTTACTAACATTTTTCTTAAAGACTAACAGTTTTCTTAAGGGATAAATATAAGAAAATAATTGTAAAATTTTTAGTCGATACCAAAAGTTAGCATTCGTTTCTTTTGTATCGAAGTAACTATTTAAAAATCTGATCCTTTTCACCAAAGCAGGATACTTGGACATTGTCTACAACGCTTTGGGTCAGCAAGGAAAAAATCCCAGTCTTTCGGAAGAATGGAAGCAGCTAAAATACAGAATCATTATCGAATAATTTTATGAAATCTTTCGGTAAATTACTGATATAACTTTGACATATATGACAAGGACAAAATATGCTCTGAAAGTCCTAGAATTAAAGATGGTCCTTGGATTTAAACAGCAAAACTATGAGAAATTGAATTTTTTTTTTAATATATTCTAAAAGATCTCGCTAACAAAATAATGAAATTTAGCTTTTCACCAAAAATTTCAAATTATTTTCTAGTGATGTAATCATCAGTCACTGAGATTTGTCTGGAGGGCACTTTATTGGAGAAAGTTCCTCAACATATTGTAAAAACAAATCCTTATTAATCATCTCAACTTATTTAAAAATTAAAAGACAGAAGGTTTATGGGAATTCTGTTTTCTTAGTATCAGAGATCCAATTTAAAGTAAAAGAAGAGAACACTTGAATCAAGAAATTTGAAATATACTTAATTCCAGGGTGCAAAGGGAATTGAATGAAAGCTAAAAGATAGATAATATCCTTATTATCTTAGATTAATACCCATCACTACTAATTAATCGTGATTTAGCGGAGAAAAGACTAGAACAATTACTGCCGCTTTCGAAACATGAAATGTTTTTGAAATAATTGAGGAGGGTGCAATAGAAGACATTACAGATATAAATAATAGTAACTACCCTTTTTACTTACAGGAAGTATAGCAATCGCGAAAAATTTCGGGTATCATATTTTAATGAAATATCCCATTTTGACCAATATCGAATACAATTTAACAATGTTTTTGTGTGACTCTCCATAAGAACAGAATAAAGTACTTTTTTAAGCAAAACGGATCGTAAAATAGATTTAAAATGGATTCATAAGAGACCTTTTTCGTGACATCTGTACGTACGTATGTATGTATCTCGCATAACTCAAAAAACCAGTAACCTCAGAACCTTGAAATTTTGTATATGGGACTGCTATAACATTTAACTGTGCACCCCCTTTTTGGTTGCAACGGCGGCACAAATATATATATATATATATATACCCACTCTGTTACTCAGCTCGGTGAGCTCAGTATTTTTATTCTTTATATGTTGGTAAGTTGTGTAATTTTTGCTTTAAAAGTGATTGAATCGTATTGTTCTTATGTTCCGGTTAAGGTTTTATACCTTTAGTTAGTCTGCATGCAATAGTTGTAGAATTATCAATAAGTCGGACTAAGCCTAACGGAGCAGCCATTTGTTTACATTTGGAACTTAGTAGAATAGTGAATTAAGTCAGTTTCTGCATCTTCAGTGTCTTTTTGCCTAGTGGGACCAAAGGTAAACTTTCAGTTTTGTGCACCGAAAAATCTGCCTTCTTGCCGCCGGACGAATTGCTTGTTTTTGCGTAGAAACTCTAATGTTAATTGTAAAAAAAAAAATTTAACTGTTTTAACAGAATTTGGTGTTTTATGTTTTTCTATGTGTTTCATTTTTTAACGAAGATGTTTTGAATTTTTATTTATTTTCGCCTTGGCTTGAACTGAATTAATTGAATGGTAAGTATATATCGAATGAAATTTGAGGAAATAAGTTTTAATGAAATGCAGCAAAAAATATGAGTAATTTAATAGACCACACAAGGAAGTCATGTGATATCCACCTAAGATTTTTTTAATTAAGCCATAATACCCAAAATGCGACAGTGAAAATAAGATAAGTATTTGATGGATCAGTTAAAGAAAGACATTCCTTCTCTTAAAATAATTATTTGATAAATGACTCAAATTTAATTTTAAAAAATTTCATCCGTTTTGCACCGCTTCAGAACACGGAAGATTGGTGTAAATGCCGATACCCGCAAATCACATTTATAGATTGGTTTAAATGAAAATGATCGAAATTTCTTAAAGTTTCATGGAAAAAAGGCGGGGATTGCACCTAGTTAAAAAAGTTCACCTATTATTTGATCTTAATGCCACCCCTTTTATTTTATTAGTTCAAAAGGGCTTTGTCCCTGAGGGACTATTGTTTTCGTTTTGCGATTTTGCGTCGAATCACTCTGAATGTCCGTTTCACTTTTCAAACTGTTGCCACCAAATATTATAGCTCTGCATCATTACTCTTATTTCTGACTTGCACCGGTAAATGTCGACATTCACTATGTACTAATGGTGAATGCTGAACATATAAGAATATTATATTTTCTTCTCCGTAATTCAGTCGCGAAGAAACGCCATTGAGACTTAAAATAAGAACTTAAGAATATAAGAATTTAAAACGTACACAGTACATTCAAAATGAGAAAGGAAAATAATAAAAGTTAAAAACTTACTAAATTATCTGATTCAAATCTTATATATTGCAACAACTTAAACTATTAGGACACTCTGAATTGCAAAAGAGGCCCTTGCTTTTAGAACTGCATTTATTTGTGGAACACTTCCTTTTGCAATGACAGCGTGTACATATACTCCTCTCTTTAGGACCTACACCAGAGCATATCTGTGATTGTCGACATACACAGGGGTCCGAATGTACAAGAATGTAATGCAATATTCGATCTTTCACCGACATATTTGGTGAATGTTGACATTCTCCGGTGAAAGTCGAGATTCTCCAATTTCGGTCTTTCACGGTAACATATATATATACTAGTATGGCAATTCAATGCATTTATCATTTCAAAGATACCAGAAAAGTGGACTTCAGTTGGATTTCTCTTTACCTTGAAAATTTCACCTTCTTAGTTAAATGAAAGTGAGTTAATTTTAAATATTGATGATACACAGACAGGCATAAAAGCAAATTAAATACATTTTTTACGATAAATATTTTAAAAGATAATTCATTCTGATTTTATTTCGTAATATTTTTTTCTTTGATACCAAGCTTTAAAACTGTAATTATAAAACAGATTGATTCCATTAGTTATGTATTATACAGTTTTATATATTTTCAGTACTGTTTCAGTGCCAAACCGAGAAATCACTAGCCTTATATTGATTTATTTTTGACGAATTTTTTCCCATATTAATAACGTGTTCCCTAATTTTCATCTCGTTTTTTCAAGGAATTTTGCTTCCTATTCAGTTAATGTAAAATATCTTCTGGCTAAGCCAGCTTATTTAAATTTACTCCTCATTACAAGTTTTGAATCAGAAGTGTGGGGCTGTATTAACTAGATTTAGAACTTCACTGCTGTGATTAATGAATGTAGTGAATAAAACACATCTTAAAAGAAAATTCAAAGGTTTAATATCTGTAGCAAATTTCGCAACTCTTCAGAGGCTATTTAATTTGGGTTATTTATCATATAATAAGTCCAAAAACAGTTACAATACAGTACATGCAGTTATTTTCCCAACGAATTGTGCAGCTTCCTGAAAAATAATTAACAAAATTAATTTTATGCATTTATGAAAAAAAAAGATTTGTTAATAAAAGTTAATTAATGTATGCCAATTTACTAAAGTAAAGTCTCATAACAAAACAATATCTTAACGATTCTTTTTCTGTTTAAACATTTTATTCAGATTATAAAAAATGCATAAAATTCAGCTCATTTTATGGCTAAATGATTTTCTTACATATGATTTTGATGCTATGCATTTTTCTAGATTGATGTAAAGTAAATTACAATAAAGAAATGATCAGACAGTTTCAAGAAAATGTGTTAACAGATGCAACTCAATAGTTCATTAAGCAATCTTTCCACTTCACACTCAAGTCATTTATATGCAATTTAAATACAAAGTTTTTATAATAATTTATAAAGTAAGATAAATTTTCAAAAAATTATTTCTTTAAGGAAATATATATATTTTTTTAATTAAAGCTAATCTTGTACAACTTCTTTTCAGTCTTCTGCCATTGCAGCAAAGCCAAAATTCAGAAATAGTTTATCTCTAAACTTTGGACTGTCTGGATCCTAATTATAATATGCAAATCGACTTTGAGATGTGTTTCATCTCTTTCTCCTTTACTTTTACTTTTCTCACAGTCTGTAACAGAAATCTCGTTGTCTATGGAATATTTTGCATTGCATCTTTAATTAAACTAAACACAAGAGATGAGATTTCTGGCGTAACTACAACTTTTAAGCAGATCATATAAGGATTTAATCATATCTTCAGGAGAAAAAAAAATGCTTATGATAAGGTTTATTGCCTCAGATTTCATTCTGTTTGTATAAATTATTACGATTTCACAAGAAGAAGGATGAAAAATCACGCCGGGATTTCATCCACGAATCTTCAAAGGCCAGCTAGATGCGGGAACTACTTACACAATAGCAATACGCGTAGCAGTGGCAAGGGGAATACGATAATTATTTCCATTCTTACCCACTTACCATTCTTATCACAAAGGATGACTCAAGAGAAGCACAAAAGCTGGTCAACCAAATGCATATGGTTAACATGTTACATACACCACCACATTTTTTAGTTCGGGTCCCACTGTAAGAATTATTACGTTTCCAAAGTGGAAACTTGGAAAATCAACGGTACCATTGCTGATCTCGGACTACAGATCTTATGCCAGCTGCATATCTAATAACTCACACCACGAAAGCATGCATAGGAGAATGTGATAATTCCTTACATATTCCGCAAGAATGACACTGATTATATAGATTCGAAAGCCTTAACTGTTATGACAGCATAAAAAATCATAGTAATGTTTATTTGCTTCTTTGTAGCATTTTACTGCACTTAATGTGGCAATGCTGACAAACAAAGGCTTCAGTTGGGTGAAATTCCTTAACGTATAACTAAGTACAATCGGTCATGAAAATACGTTATAAAGTTATAAATCACATCATACTGCATGGTTATGTAACCTTCCTCCAAGCAAATCGCGCAATAACTAGATGATGTGGAGCATAAATCTTAGAGTTAATTCATTTATGAGTTAGGCATATACTCGCAGATTCTCATCTAATGATTCGTGATATCAAAATGTTTTTAAAAAGAGATTGTTTTTTCGATTATAGTAAAGCACACGATGGCTATCTACTTAAGAGAAGGGATATCTTCGTGAATGATTTTTTAAAAGAACTGCCTTGTATGCACGTTACGCAAGGGAAAAACACGAAAACGATCCTGTGGATAGTCTGTTCATCTTGAATCAAACCCAGGTCGAAATAACAGGATTCAGTGACTGTACTCGGCCTCTAATGAGTCTGATATTGAACTCGTTCTTAGGATTTCAGTGGCATCAAACATGTTCCCTTAGGTCATTTCTAAGTTTATGCTTGCGCTTATAACGCATGTCACTGTATAATATTGCATCGATGAGAGCATTTTGCAAAGTCAGTGATCTTGAAATCGATTTTTGAGTTCAGATTTCCAGTTGCACAATTACAGAGAGAGTTTCATTGCTACATTGCATCTCGCAGATGTCACAATAGCTACTTAGGCTTCAAGGGTCCCGAATTTGGTTTAGTTCCAGATTCACTTTCAGAACGGATTTCATTGACGGAAATTCTTGTTTCTCTTTCGTACAGAAATACAAATGAATAATAATTCTAATTAATTCATTTACCAAAGTCTCGCTCACTATTAGTAATGAGAAAACTTTACGATTTTATTCATCTTAATTTAATTTAATTCCGTTGAGGCAAGTAAACTTTACTGCATTGTAGTCATTATCCAATCAAGTTGAATTTTTATGATTTTTAAACTCATTTCTTTCACTTATTAGGTGAGAGAATAATTTTCATACCATCAGAGGTATTATCCCAGTAGCAAGACGCAGAACTCTGAATGCCTGCTCCATTCTTCTGCATGATTGTGCAAGTAGCTGCAATAAAGGAAGCAGATTACAATTGCAGAAATCAGAAGAGGAATACAAAAGTATACACAAAATTTATCTTTTGTGGAAATATGTAGAGAAACAATACCGCCAGGTTTATCAAAATATTTAATTGAAATACGTCACACATTTGATGGATTAAGTAACTAATAATCAGTATCAAACTAGTCACAGTAATGTATTCAGTTCAAAATTTAAAACCACTTTCAAGGAAATCTAAAGTCTCGGTAACACAAAAGAAAAAAAAAAAAATTCATCGGTGAGAGAATGAACGTACACTGTAATCTAGTAAACATCAGTGTTGACAGCTAAGAGTTTTGCCCTGTACGATCTCAGTTTTGGGTGAGATGAAAAGAAAGGTATTCGAGGGCATCCTATCACCTTTCTCTTATCACCAAATACTCCAGAGAACTTTCGGCCGCTGGATATTTAAATGCGCACAACCACGATGAAGAAACATCATGCAAGGTATTTTCCAAGAAATGCTTGGTTAAGATTAAACATAAATCTTCTTTTGCAATTTATTCATAATAACTGTAATTTCATTTACTAATAATTTCTAATTCCATTTACTAATTATTTCACTAATACTGAATCACACTTACCTCTCAAAAGTAAGAATGTAGTAATAGCCGGCGAAAATGGGCAAAACGCTGATGACACAGCAGGCATTTTTGAATCAATGTTTGCCTATCTTATGCCGTCCTGTATATGCCATTTCTCGAACCAACCTCGTCTTCGGAGGGGTAAAGCTAACTCGAGAAGAGCTTCAAAACATGAAGCGATCGATTATCTGTTAATACTTTCCCTACATTTTTCTGCGCTAACCATGTTTTGACAATCAGTCTACCATTTTACTTGGATAGATATTGCTATTTTATTCACTTATATTCGATATCACGAAAATGTAGCTTTTCCGGCAAACTCCCCTTCTCTATATTTTCATGTTACATTATACAAAAAAATACTATACTTTCACATAATTTCACTAGAACTATTTACATATGTATAAAATTCGTAACATTATACTTGTATTCATTTGTTTTAATTTCTGCCGAATAATTTTTATATTCATAGTTACCCAGGTAACCCGCTTTCAAAAATGTACTATTACGAATTTTGTTTTTGTACTTTTGTATCTGTTTACCATGCATATCAAAATGTTAGACGGCTTAAAATTGTACAGTAGAGTTGTAGGTACAGTACATTAGGTTAATTTGGAAGCAGCAGTGATGAAAAATTAACAGCACCTTCGCCGGGAATCGAACCACGGACCTCTGGAATTCCGGCCCAGCGTGCAGAACACCTGCATATACACCTGCATGTGTACTGATAAACGATACCCGCAATGAGTTGTTGTGAGTTTAGTTTGCAATAACATGCGGTCACAAAAATTCAGACAAATCTCCTAACGTTTCGCAACAATAGAAAGGAATGGGAGCCAGTGGCCAGTTGCTACCTGACTTTCGTCAAATCCTCGAAAAAAGCAAAGCGCGCTGTCAAGTATTACAATATATTTGTTATGAAGTTCCCCAAGAATTAATGGCACAATGCGAAAACGGCAAAAATTACAGGAAAAGAACACTCAAATCTTTGAACAGAACAGGAAAGACATACGTATAAATAACAATTATATGTACTGTATGTAATATTTGCTCTGTCTGACCTAGAGATATCTTAAAAAAAGTTCCAAAAAAGCTGTCGAGCTTTATATAGCGTGCAGAGCTTTATATAGATATCGGGAGGATTCTACTGTACCCTCAGGCTGTGCAATCGATGAAATGAAAGAAGAATTTATTCGGAGATTATTCAATATTCTTAAAGTAGCACAAATGATCAGATCCAAAACCCTCAGGCTGTGCAATCGATGAAATGAAAGAAGAATTTGTTCGACGATGATTCAATATTCTTAAAGTAGCACAAATGATCAGATCCAAAACTCGTACTCCTGTGCCGATGTTTCAGTTACAATTATTCAACGAGCCTGGTGCTCCAAAAATCTGTGAAGTAGAAAATTTAATGCTCTTCTCTGTCTCGGTGGAGCCTTACTAATTCAAGGTTTGTGTGGCCCAGGGCCACAACAGACAATATTTTTTCCATTCCTCAGACAAGTGCAAACTCGCTACGAAGTCTGTTAAGTACGGCCTCCCGCACAAGAGTTCAGAATGCCAAGCAAAACTGATTATCATTTAGTGAGCAGCGATCAAAAAGCACACATGAACGGCAGGCCATAGTGTGCAGACCCGGTAGGTGAAACAAACCTTCCAAGGAAGCAAACAGCTTCACCTGAATATTCCCAAGTGCAAATGATGTCGACGAGAATAAAAGACCGACTCCAAGAGGGAAAGAGGCCAAAACTTGACTAAGAGAGCTCCAGCCCCAGAAACCGATGAGGCTACTCAGGACCGTCACCTACCCGTCTTGGTGCGAATTCCTGGAGTAACGTATGTCTGAATTCTACAACAAAAACAGAAAGATATTATAATATAATATAATTATTCTCCAAGTATCAGTTTTTTTCATACATGCATATGAAGTTGCTAGTACACTTTTATTTTTACCTTGAGCGAGGATATCTAAATTAAATGCAGCGAAGAAGCTTTTTTTAATATATATATTAGCCACTTTTAAGAATTTTATGTGTTAAACATGATTATGTTATTTTAGGCCAAAAGATTATAATGAGTCGAAAATTTTGGTGCGAATGAAAATCAAATATTGAACATTTCTATGTAAAGTTAAACTAAATAAACGTAATCTTTTTAACTGCAGTATGTTGAACGAAATTTAACATCCTGAATGCATGAATACATATGTTAAAAACGAACATATTTTAAAAGCAAAATGTGTTCTCCAATGTGTTATAAATACGGTTATTTAAAAAATAAGCTCTATTTCAATGTAGAACATTAGGTATTGAATTTGAAATAGGGTATCGTCGAGGTCTGGAGTGTATTGCATGGTCTTTATGACCATGCAATACAGTGCTTCGAGGCGGATTTGTTTAAGTCTTGGCACCCCTTAACACCTGTACGTAGTTGGAATCAACGGTACCATTTTATGTGCATTCCATATTTACTTTTTTCATTATTTATTCTTCCATATATTTCATCACTTAACCATCACTTATGCAATGGCAGAAAATGGTTAGAATATTTGTAAAACATTTGTTTAAAAAATTATTGACGGTGTTACCTCGCGCTTTAATAGTTTCCAGAGTGTTAGCGTTATAAAAGTACATTATTTGCAAAAAAAATCTATTTTTAACCTTTTACTAATAATTTTAAGTACTCACAAATTTAGAAGGTCTCCAGATGCAGTTTTGGAGAGCTTTTCTGATCCTACTGTTTAAGCTATTTCTTACCTCCACTTACTTTTAACTCAATGTTTTACGCAACATTTTCAGAGCCAATATTTTCAATTCTTTATCTGAAAATATCGATGAAAAAAAAACACACAAAGGCATATTATAAGAAATCTGCAATATCCTAACTATCGTGTTTAGAATCTCCTAATTAATCCATTAAAGAAGACTTCATTAATGATTTATGCTAAACTATTTCTCGGTTAAAAGTATTTTTCTTCATAAATAACAAACGAAGATTCAGAAGACTAATGACAATAAAAAATTCTTAAAACACAAAGTTGTACAATATTTGAATAACCTTTATATTTAAATTAAAAAGTGAATAAATTGCAATACTTATATATTTGAATGGCATGTTCAACTTGGAAAGATTCCATAAAACCTTTTCATCAATTGTTGAAGCCCATTCATCCACCATATCAGCCATATAACTCTCAGTTTTTGGAATAACCTCAGTTATAACCTAAAATTTAAGAAATATATCATAGTTCGTAAAACATTTGGCACTTTCTGATTATCCACTCCCCTGATTCTGATGTTCGGTAGAGTTCCGTGGTTTTGGAGTATTTTCGAGTGTATACTGGGCAATAACCAATCCATGCATGCGTCTACCATATAAGTTTGGCTTTCATGGATTTACAAGCTTTATATTTAGCCGTCACTGAAACTGCACTGTAAATATCGTCCATACAGAATTTTGTTTCTTCTCGTAAAATTTCTAGTTTCTTTTCAAATGCTTCTTTTTACTATTATTTATAACCCTAGAAGTAATTATCAGCAGTAAAAACAGCAAAATAAATTTTTTCCGCCAATTCACAAAGTTGCCAATGAATAGGCCACTTTTCATGGAAATGCAGATAATCAGAAAGTGAAAAATTCTTTATTAATCATGACTATAACTCGTAGAAGCAGTTTGATGAGGTTGCGAACATTTCTGTTATGAGGAGTTCCGCTTTCTAAGAGACTCCCAAATTAATAACCAATTTTTTGAAAAAACAGTCCACAAACAAATAAGATACAGTACAACTCCCTATCTTATAATAAGGAACCCTCAAAAGAATAAGGATTTATGAAATGGAGAATCAGTTCCCCATTTCATAAATCTGCCATTACTAGTAGTCAATTACATATCAATAAAAATGGTCAAAATTATTCGCCATGAGGATTCAATGGTGACGCGAAAAGTTTCGCAAACCAAACTCTTTAAAAGAGTTAAGGAAATTTCTCGGCATTTTTACCTTTTACAGACGTTTTGTCCCAAGAGCGTCGATGTTTTAGCTCCTTGAAATACGCTATTTGACACCCGGCTTAATAAAACGAAACCTTCACAGCCTGTAGAGACATTAGGTATTTTTTTGAATGAAGCAGGCAAGATGAAAAATTAGCAACGCCTTCCCCGGGAATTGAGCCGAAAATCTCTGGAATACCTGCCCAGCGTGCAGACCACCACACCATGAAGACACGCTAGGAAGGCACCTTATATACTCCCCCTTTTAAAGGGCGACTTGGGTTTTTAGGGGACCCAATCTCCAAATCGTGGGTGCGGAGAATCATCATCCTACACCCTTTTAGTTCGGGCGCCATGTAGGGACATTAGGTATTTTTTGGACAGGAGAGATGGAAAATTATCAACGCCCTTGCCGGGAATCGAACCACAGACCTCTGGTATACCGGCGCAGCGTGCAAACCACCACACCACGAAGGCACGCTAGGAACAGTCCACAAACAAATAAGATACAATTATACAATACAGTACAACTCCCTATCTTATAATAAGGAACCCTCAAAAGAATAAGGATTTATGAAATGGAGAATCAGTTCCCCATTTCATAAATCTGCCATTACTAGTAGTCAATTACATATCAATAAAAATGGTCAAAATTATTCGCCATGAGGATTCAATGGTGACGCGAAAAATTATCAACGCCCTTGCCGGGAATCGAACCACAGACCTCTGGTATACCGGCGCAGCGTGCAAACCACCACACCACGAAGGCACGCTAGGAAGGTGGGAGAAATATCTTATAAGCCAAGTAAAATAAAAGAACATCCTCTAGAATGGGACGACGAAGCTGACCCATGCAAAAAAGGCAATCGCCGAGGCTACCGTTCTTAGACACCCAGTTCCTGGTGCTACTTTGAAACTCTGTAATTATGCAATCTAATCCGATAACTATTAATTTAAATTAATTATTTAGATTAAAAGTTATTCAGATTTAGATTAGTTAGCATTTAGATTTTTAGTTGGGATTTAGATTATCTGATAACGATGTTAATATACTGTAAATAGATATTCGAAATTCGCTCGTGATGACAAACTATCTAGCGGTCAATTCTTTCCAGCACAGCCTTCGGGAATTCAGCAGTTAACAGTACTGATCACCGATGAAAACAAAACAAGTTTGTAGAAAGTAATTAGTTCCAAAACACAGTTATCAGACCATCCTCTACTCTTACAGATCAAAACAAATTATATTCTCTTTCTCGTGAAATAAATTTTAGTCTGATTCTCCCAAAAATGTTACCGTACATTAAACTAAAAGGCGTGTTGAAAAAATTTGCTCGTTCTCAATTTGATATTTTAAAAACTTAGATAGGTGCAACCGTCCGTCTTTGAAATAATGATGAAGGTAAGTTATCGCTTTAAGTCTTCATAAGTGTATTAACAACATAACAAAACAACGCCCCCCAAAAAAGGTATTCTAAGATATTTCGCCTCAAGAGGTCATATAATTTCTTTATTTTAGTTTAAATTCTCTAGGACTATCTTTAGGCAGGTGGTCCAAATATGCTTTGCCAAAATTGCTTTAGTACTTTTGCATCTGAATCCAATTTTAAATGCAAGATTTTCAGATTTGAAAAAGTTTAATAATTCCCTTGCGTATATTCAAATAAACATAATCTCACTGAAAACACAAAAAACCAAAGGGTATACTTACAGTTTTAATAATATCTGTGACATCATCGGCTGGAAATGACATCTGAAAATTGCAATATATTAGAATTTTTTGTCGTTTCAATTTTTATGCTTCTAAAAGCATTTATAAAATATTATAATAACTGTCAAGAATTTCAAGTTATCCTGGTTCAGAAAACGCTAATTTAAATCACACATAATATCAAGGTAAATGAACACTACGAATCAGATTTCTAAACTCCCAAGTTTATTCACGTCTAACACACATTCAACTGGCTCTGCCAAATCCAAGAACAAGAAGTATAACATCATGAAAGATTTACGCCCTCTTTGGGAATTAAAATATATTTCCAAATAAAATTTCTTACACACTGGGCCCGGCTGAACTGTAGTTCAGAACAATCAAGATTATCAGTGATATGAACATTTTCAAGAATTATTATGCATTACAAATTCAAGTTTTTGTAATCAAGAAATGTCACATAAATATCAAGAACATGTAAAACTTACCATATGTTTCAAGAATATCAAGTAAATTTTCAAGTAAATTTCATCAAGAATTATTCTTATAACATTCCTGTTCAAGCATCAGGATTTAAATCAAGAATTTATATGACTCAAAATAATATTAAACAAATGAAATGATTTCAAAATCAAGTTTTTCATAATTCAACTAAAATACTAGGATTATTACAAGAAACCTGTCTTTTTTTTTTTTTTTTTTTTTTTTCAGAATTAAATTAAATTTTTAAAATGCATTTCTACAACCTTAAAATTTTCTAATATATACATTTCTTTAAATATTAAATATACAGTACTTGAAATAGCAATTAAATAAAATAGATAGAACATTAGTAGCATTACGATTACATTTTCAATAAGAAATATACTATCATACAATATTAATACTCTTAGCACTCTAGATGGAAAATGGTGCTATGACTTGTCGCATCGGACGGGAGTTATAACGCTGACACAGTACACAGTTTCTTATAACACGTTTCACATTTTGTCTGGATCTAATTATCCAGTACTTTCCACGGAGGAACATGAGAGTACTAGCTACACCTGTATGAACTCGTTCATGTGCATCACGTAGTAGAAGATCTGTAAAATGAGTTTTTGAAGGAATAATTATAGGATGCTTTTCATGAAAACTTAAAGTTGATTTTTGTAGTCTTCCTCCTACTAATAAAACTCTTTCCTCGTTTAGAAAAGGATTTAGTTCATAAATGTTTGAGCTTTTTGAAATCAACTATCCAGACTTTAAATTATTAATTTCATTAGAAAAATGTTCATATCGAACTTCTTTTTATCAAATATAATTCCGCGGCAAAAAGTTCTGCTAGCAAGGGTCCGGTTTTCTTGTCAGTTTTATTTTTCAGATTGTGAATAAACCTAAATATCTGTGCAGTCACTCTAATAGCTCTCATTAATTTACTATAATTTTCAAGATTCAACAGAGAATTAGATTTTTCTGCAATAGACGGCAGTATTGTGGTATTATTTATACACCTTTTCCGCTCTAATTCAGCATCAGAAAACTCCGTTTTCACGATAAATTGACGAGGCCAAGCACTCACTGATTCAACTAACCAGTCTGAACAGTCAATTTCAAAGTCAGCCTAAACAGGCTGAACGTCGTCGGGGTTCGGATCCGTAAGTCGTCAAACTTTAAGCCTAAAGTAGTTCATTACGACAAGTTTGCTCCTTCCTACGGCCATAGTACGTAGTGTACACTAACTACCAATAAGTATTTGGACACCTATGCAAATGACGATATCTGCGGTCCTAAGGTACGTCACGGACTCCGCCGGTATATATCGTGTAGGAAACAGCATCGGCTTTAGTGGCATGCAAGATGCCTCGCAGTTCGGAGCTCTTTGATTTCGAGAAAGGTATAATTATTGGGTATCACAAATGTGGCCGATCCTTAAGGGCATATCTAGCGATCTGAAGTACCCAAAATCGACAGTGGCCTGCCTATGTGATTAAGAAGTGGAAGGTGAGCGGTGATTGTCGGAATGTGCACCGAGTCGGCAGACTGACGAAACTGGGGGATAGAGACCGACGAGTGCTGTCCAGAGAAATTCGGAAGAAACACACCCTACCGATGGCCCTCATCCGCGAGGAGTTTCAACAGGCATCCGAGAGTATTGTTTCAATGAATACCATCCGTAAGGAAGCACATCTGCTTGGTTTTCATGGTCGTGCTGCTGCCCATAAGCTTTTGATCACAAAGTCTAACCGCGCTGCTCGGTTAATGTGGTGCAAAGCCCATCGAAATTGGACCGTAGATCAGTGGAAACGGGTTCTTTGGAGTGACGAATCAAGGTTCACCCTCTACCGTTCGGATGGCAGGGTCTGGGTCTGGCGTCTACCTGGAGAACTTCTCCTGCCAGAATGCATTGTGCCAACAGTCAAGTTCGGCGGAGGTGGAATGATGGTCTGGGGGTGTTTCTCCTGGTATGGGATGGGACCCTTGGTCCCCATTCATGGTAAGCTCAACTCCGATGCCTACTGCCTATTTTGGATGACAACGTGCTTCCTACGTTGTGGAAGTTTTACGGGTTGGACCCCTGTTACTTTCAGGACGACAAAGCCAGTTGTCATGTTTCGACGTTAACCAAGGCTTGGTATGGTGCCAATGGAGTTCATCGAATGGACTGGCTTGCCCAGAGTCCATACCTGAACCCTATCTGGGACGTGTGACTCCTCTGGGACGTGTTGCATCGCCGTTCCTTACCCGCAAAATCGGTAAAGGAACTTCTAAGTTTTCTCTATTCTATTAAAAAGCCGAGTGGAAGAAATTACCACTAGCTGTCATATAAAGACTTGTGGAAAGTATGCCCCGGAGGGTCCACGCTGTAATTACCTCTCAACCTCAATGATCAATAATTACCTCAACGATCCCACTGATGAACAAGCTCCAAGATTCCTTGTTCCCAGAATTCCTGTGGCCGTGACGGGACCCAGTCCTTCACAGCGTCCTTGAGTACGTCGTCCGAGTTAAAGCGCTTCCCTTTCAGGTGTTTCTTCAGTGGAGCAAACACATGGAAATCGCAAGGCGACATGTCTGGACTGTAGGGTGAATGGTCCAATGTCTCCCACTTGAACTTGGCCAGTTCCATGTGTGTGACTCTGGAGACGTACGGACGCGCGTTATCATGGAGCAAAATCACACCCTCCGTGAGCAGCCCTGGTTCTTGATGGATCTGCGTAGGCGTCGGAGTGTCTCACAGTACACATCGGAGTTAATGGTTTTTCTATGCTCGAAGAATTCCACAAGTAGCGGACCTTGAACGTCGAAAAAGATGGTGAGCAACACCTTGCCTGCTGACGGCAAGGCTTTGAACTTTTTAGGGAGAGATGGCGACGCATGCTTCCCCTGCATGCTGCCCCGCTTTGTCTCTGGCTCATAGTGATGGCACAAGGTCTCATCACCTGTGACGATCCGCTCCATGAAAGCGGGGTCTTCCTGATACCGAAACAGATGTTGCAGTGCTATGCTAGCCCCATACGCAGTTCCTTTTGCTGGTCGGTGAGCTGCTTCGGAACCCAAGCGACGCACACCTTCCGATATCGCAACCTGTCGTGAACAATTGTCCACACGGTTCCATAGCTGACGTCCACCTTCACCGCCAACATTCGCAATGTGACACGCCGATCACTTCTCACTAGGTCGTCCACCTTGTCGATGAGATCGCTCGTGATGACAGTGTTTGCCTGGACTGGTCTCGGGTCATCACCCACACTCTCACGGCCTGCACGAAAACGAGCACTCCATTTTCTGACAGACTTGTCAGAGACACATTTCTCCGCCGGTTTCTCACCTTCCGCTGTCAGAAATCGGATAAAACCTCGCTGCTCCTCAGTCGTCGAATTTTGCAACGCGAACGCCGCATCATTTGGACGCCGCTTTTGATAAGAGCCTCTGCTCTCTCCTGTGCATGCGGGCGCCCGCGCATGCTTCGATCTCAGTCAGAGACTCCAATCGCGTTCTGAGATGTCTCGCTCGTTCTCCCATGGTGGAATATGCAAATATTTAACTGTTACGTTTTTACGTCGTTTCGTACCTCTTCATTTGATCCACCTTGTATTTGATTTGATTTGTATTTAGTATTTGAGAGTATTATATTTGTTTTAAGTTACTTATTGCAATTATTGTTTATGTTGTTTGTAATGTAATGTTTATTATTGCATTGATGCCTTACTTGTAAGTTTGGCTTCCTGTCCAGGGATTGTACTGCCCGGGACGTGCAGTCCTTGGAAAGGGGACAGTGATACGGATTTTGCATTTATTTAGCTATTTTTAGTAGAATTGTAATTAAAATTATTTTACTTCGCCGTGCAATAAAGCGCGTGACAACTTTTAATAGAAAGCTACGCCGAAAAAGTAGAAATACAGGAGCACACGCATTTAACATTTAATAAATAGATATCTTGTAATTTATATTTAAATTGAATAAATGAAACTGTGTGTTAGCTGTAACTGTAATTCTACTCTTTTGCTTTCCAGAAACCTCGAGAAAATAAAAATTACCAGAATGTTCTCGTGCATGATTAAAAAGCTTTTAAAAGCCGGAACGAAACAGCTCACTTCGGTTTTTTACTAAGTTTTTGTTGTTGATTGTAGCGAATTCGCGGTGAAGATCGGATTACCTTTCTCTACGTTTTGGATTGAGTTCTATTTAACGTTTTAATAGTTTACGAATATCTGTGAGGAAAAAATTCAGTATTTTGTTTTTATTTTTTGTGATAAGAATAAATTTTATTAACTTTTCATCAGACTTGTGCATTCAATCTATTACGAACCCGTACGCACACAACAATATTTATTCTTTAGATTCTATCTGGAAATTAAACTAAACATTTAGGAGTTTAGTCTCATTTACTGAAATACAGAATGAAACATTTTTTTATATCTACTATACCAAAAATGGCTCACAAGTGACCGAGCAGTAAAGTCCCTGAACACTGGTAGTTCGGATCCCGCGAACGGGCTGGCTGCATAGGAGTTTTCATGGTTTTCCCCATGTGTAACGTGTTAATACGAGACAGTTCCCTTAGAAAGTGCTCCACGAAAGCATCACGCCCCTTCTGAATAGTGCCTTAGGGAACACGTAAACAATAGCATACCAGAAATGAAAATACTATAATATGAAGGACAGCAATTATGAATAATTATCCGATCGAGCAAGTTAAAACTCTTTACACTGCACATCATCCAAACACGTGCCGCGTCCAAACACTTATCGCTAACCCAGCGAACATATCATATTGTTACCAGCTTCGGTAAGATACCTTCCCCGCAAGGCGGGGGTTTAGGGTTGCCAGATTCGACCCGAAATCGTCCCTTTTGCGACAAAATTGGCGATATGCTATAGACGGGTGGAGAACATTCTAGAACGAATTCTCATTGGTTTGGGCCAGAATGTTCTCGAAAGCAAGCCAAAAACTTTATAAACCCTGCCTGTACGCGGAGTAGCAGTCTAGTATCGAGTTGGTAGTCGAGTGTATCGCGAGTTAGTGCATCGAGAGTGTGCATCGCGAATTTTGTAGCGTGGAGAGTCTCCAGATTACATTGAGTTCAGAGAACGACCGAACCGAGTCGGGAGCTGTACTGTAGTGCTTTGCCGCGAAGCTGTCTTCACTGTTATAGTCTGATAGTCTGAAGGCTATGTTGCAGATTGTTTTAGCGTGTTTGTCGTAGTTTTTCGACGACTGTAAACGTGTTTTTGGAGCTGTCCTAAGTAATACTAGTTAATAAATTGTGTCTTCATTCTTCCTCAAGTGTTGTCGTTAATCCACGAACCCGTACAAATGCAACAATACTTTATGTTTATAGTACTTTATGGTTAAAGATCGGAACAAAATACAGTTTTATTAAAACTGCTATTCAACATAGTTCTCTAAATTACATTCTCAAAATAGTACATTAAAATCAATTTATTGCTAATAAAAGATATTGCTCATGTTTTTATAATGATGTCTATAAATTCAGCCTCCGCAATTGGGGAAAAAAACTACGATATTTGTGAATTACAGATGCGGAAGTATTGAGGCATTGCAGAATAGTTCGTAAAATTTACGTAAATGATCTAGGATTAAAAACCAACAATTAGTTTTTGAGAACAGTTCAGTAAGCCAATTCTTAGCAAATACTAACTGTGTTTAATTCTAGTATATGGATACGGGATATGGTGACATTTGGCGACATTATGATGAGAAGTTAACGCAGTATTTGGTGCTACTTTGGTAGACGGTTGCACGGATTTTGGAGATTTTTCTTTTGGCGAGTAATACAACTTATGGTAAACCCATCGCTGGATAAGTTATTTATGGCAACTGATAGTTGTTATCATTTTATTAAAAAAATAGTGCGTTTTATTATGCATAACTTCCGTGTTTTAAATATTATTTATGGCTTCTAAATATTAAAAATCAATTTAATTTTACATTTTTATTTGAAATAAAAATTTGTTGTTTATAATATTTTATATAATTTTATGTTGTTGATGATGTAATCAATGACGTCAATTTACTTAAAAAGTAATTGGTTTTATTAATATCTATAAATTTAATCTAATGTTTTAAACATTATTTATGGCTGTTAAATATTAAAATACAATTTAATTTTGCATTTGTTTTAAAAATGATTTTATTATGAATGATTATTTAAATAATTTTAATTCTATGCGTGATGTAATCAGCTCCCTGATTGGTTACTGAATATTTGTGCATTACCCCGCCATTTCAAAATTTTATTATTCATGTCTTCGAATTCGTCAGATTTCAAATGGAATGGATATCTTCGTTTCGAAGATGAATGTTGTTATTTGTAATTACCATGAATTATTGGTATTGGAATAATAAAAATTTCCCTTTGAGACCTTATTTTGGCCAACATGTCTTTCTTAATCAAAGATTTATTTAAAAATTGTTAATAGCGTCAGAGGAAATTTATTTTAAATTTTTGGAGGAAACCTCGCTAATTGCTTCTTCAATGAAGTGCGAGATATGTGGATAACAGATGAAGATGGTTAAAAGAGCCGATTCAATTATGATTTCGATTTTTTTTTTTTTGTGGTACTTATCAATAAACAAGAGGTTAAATTACTCAAAAAAATGTAAGTACATATTTTTATTTTATTTTATAATTGTATACTTCAATTTTTGTTAAAAAAATTAATACACTATTTTCAAAAAATTGCTGAGATAATTATTGTCACATATGTTTTAATGTTAATTATATTTTATATAACGTATTTTAAAGTATTTGAATTTAATAATATTCTAATTCTTTTAAATGTTGGTAGGATGGTTTTTAATTCGATATTCAATTTCAGTAATATTTTAATCTAATTAAACGTTGGCACAATGTTTTTATTCTCTTTTTTGCTATATGAAAGTAATAATAGCCTTACTTTAGTATTTTATACTCATAGTAAATGTATTTATTTAACTTCCCTGCCATCTTAAAAAACTACATTTTCAACAAAAATTACTCCATTACTTTTAACGATACTTATATATATATATATATATTATATATATATTTAAGTTTCGAATACTTTACTATGCGTAAAAACAGCGTTTTTCTAGATGGCTGACGATTGTAAAAATTGCGCCAACAATTGCGCCAACGTAAATCGCCAAAAATCCGAGCAACCGTCTACCACAGTAGCACCCAGTATTTATGATGAGCATCATACCGTGACAATTCGTGACAATTTTTAAATTTCGTGACAATTTTTAAAATCACGCCAATGCCGTACTGTGTACTAGGATTTTACCACTAACTCATAAAATTACCTGCAAGTGCAATAAATAAATAAATAAATAAAAATAAGAAAGTTTTAAAAACTATGCAAAAATGACAATATATTAGTAATAAGCAAAATGTTAAGTTTAAAAACAATTCGCTAAACTTTGCGAAGCTATAAATAAGCAATTAGAACTTGCTTTCAATTTATGTTCAGAAAAATGCACTAAAATTTATTTTGATAAATTAATATATACTATTTATAGAAATTAAAGAAAAAAGTACCTTTGATATCTTGACAGGACCTCATAAAAAAGTGTATGAAAATCTAAAAATCACATACAAATAATATGCTCAACAGCATATTATTTAAACAGCCAAATAATAATCAGATTCTGAATTTTTGTCTGGTAAAAATTATGTTGTTTCACAAGCACATTAGAATTACTATATTTAGAAATAGGCATACCTTACGGAATACAGATTTTTACACGAAAAATTTAAAAAAAAAAAAAAAGGAATAGTATTCCATTCTCGCACATTAAATGATTTACGCACGTACGAAAAAATTAACCAACTATTGTTAGAGCTGATTTTCACGTGAAAATTTATTTATTCAATTTGTTGGGAACGGTAACAGTACCTGAAAACTATAACTAGGTAAAAGTTCACAGAAAGATTATAGATAATCGACAGAAAGATCTTTCACGTGAATCAATTATGAAACTTCTTTAAATACTTTTTTTTTTAGTTCAAGAGCTTAAATATTTAACAAAAAAAAGGTGCCAACAGCAGCTATTTATTAAATTTCCGATATACTATGACGCCACATGAAACGTGCTTTCTTCAACGTCAGAACATAATTTTATATAATAAATCTCTGAAACTTTCAGATTTTAAATTACGTCCAAAGAGGCGTTTCTTTAACGATTTGTGGGTTACCTTTATTTATTAAATATCATGTTCTTCGCACTTAAACCATAAAACTCATAAAACAACAGCAATATCGCAAAACAGTTTTAAATTGAGCATATCTTTAGAATTTCCGATACATAGTCTCTGTAGCAATCTTGCTTTTAAGCAAGAAGAAAGGAGATGGACTTCGGCGAACGCCGTTTCCTCCAGTCCGTGAGTCTGAATTTCCTCGCGCGCTAGAGTCTCATACATAGCCTCGCGTGCTGGAAATAAAAATGTTTTTTTCTGTACAACGTTGCCATTGCTCGCTTTGAAATCCTTAAGTTTGTTAATAAAAATTCGTTAAAGTTTTACAGAATATGAAATAGATAATAAAACAAATTTCAAATGTGAGTTTCAAGATGCCGACATTCGGGTGGAAACGTACGTTATTCAAAACTTGATGGCTCTATGTACCGTTGTTTTATCACAGTGCGAGAAACATACATACATTTATGCAGATTCTTAATTATTTTTTTAATATAATACAGGGCTGTAATATTTGGTGGCAACAGTTTGAAAAGTGAACCGACATTTAAAATTTTGAATGCAAAATGCCAAAACGAAATTAATAGTCCTTCTAGGCTAAGCCCTTTGGGGTAAAAATGATATAGTAAATTTGTAAAATATTTAATGCCAACTGTATATTAGAAATTATTGTTTGAAATAAAAAGAATTAGAATTTGGCTCGCTAATGTTTTTTGCCGGTATCCTTCTTTTATGGAAATATTACATCTACACACAACCTAAGCAAAAAATAATTAACAAGAAGGAGACTTTGCCCAACAGCAAATGCATGAAGTTTCACTAGTATTACGATTCTGTATTTATAGCAAGTATGTTAGTAGAAAATGTTCTTTAAAATATTTCTCTCAGGAATACAATTTATTTTCTTTATATTCCCCTGTGAAAATGCCATACCTTTGAGAATCAAACAGAATACTTATAATTAAAAAAAAAAAAAAAAAAAAAAAAAAAAAATTTTTTTTTAAGATGTACAAATATATCATGACTAAAAAAAAATCCTTTATTAATTACATTGCGAATGATAAAAAAAACTACCATTTGGGTATATTATAAATCAAAAGAATTTTAATTTATATTTAACTACATATGTTAAAAAATAAAATTTTAATTATTAAGAGATGGTGTTATTGTTTTAAAACCAATCAATTTGTTAAGCACTTACAGATCTATTAAATTTGGAAGACAAATTTAAAATGTTATGTTTCGCCTAGTGACAGCATTCTGAGAACGATTACTATATGAAGCCCGGAAGAGAACTTATCGCCAGAGCTAACCTGTCCTTTACCTCAACTTACCATAGCCTAGAAAAACAATAAAGTGCTCCAGTTCGTATCACTGTTTGAAATGCTACAAGCATTTTGTAGCAAAAAGAAGTTATTCAGTTTCTACTGGACTGTGACATGTGTAACGTGTATACGAGCCAGTTTCCCTTAGAAAGTCCCCCCTCCTCTTAGGCAGATAGCCTAGTGCGCTTTGTCATAATTAAATAAACCAATAAACCAAAACCGTCTGTCAAACTCTTTGAGTTGAAATTTTCTTTCTGTGCAAATTGAAGGAAAAGAGTTCGGGGGGAAAAAATAAACTTTAGAATTTGTTTTCAAAAAAGAAACTAAATATCTTTTTTTTTTTTTTTTTTTACTTCTGTTCTCTCGTTAATAAATTTATTTAAAGAAGTTTGCTCTTTACAAACTGGTGCCCGCATTCGTGACTGATTGCGATTAAATGTCTACAAATGAGAATGCTGAAAGAGCATCGGAGAGATTAACAACTGCTAGAGTAAGTCTAAAAATTCCTCTTTTTTGGAACCCGACCCCAAAATATGGTTTCTTCAAATCGGAGCTCAATTTCGCAACGCTGGAATTAACGGCGAATCACACAAAATATGGTTAAAGTAGTCAATTCAACCGAAGCATGGGCATTACCACAAGTCGCAGATATCCTCGGCAAATAGCCGGCAATTAAAAAGAGGCTAATTGAAATTGCAACCTGGCGACGAAGCAGGTGCCAGGTGAATTTTTGAAAACATTGCAGGTGCGACTACCACGGCTTAATATGCAGAGCATTTTGTCTGTAAGCACCGATGATTTGTCCAAACTATTGACAATGGCTGACAAGATATGGGAAATAAATCCCAATCAATCAACCTCAGGTAGGTAGCTTTACTCATGTAGGTCGCATTCTTTTTCAACCATCTGATAACAACATCGCCCAAGATTTACAGAAACGGGTACCAAACTTAGAGCCTGCAAGTAGCAGAAATGAGTAGACATAGAATTTCCAGTCCACAAAGACGAAGATACAGATCGAATTCAAGAAACCTTTCCAAAAATAATTGTTATTGTCATCAACACGAGAAAGCTTACATGTATACACCGTCACGCAAAGATTAGGGTTCGAATTCACGGCTTTCAATGACGACTGAAACTCAAGAAGCCAAGCTGCGTCATCTGTATACGCATCACTAACCCCTTTTTCATTTGATACTGGAGCAGAACTATCGGTTGTTCCACCATCGCCATCGGAAAAAAGAACGATGTCTAAGCTTGAGCTGTTTGCAGCTAACGGTACAACAATCAAAAACGTATGGTCAAAAATTCTAGGAACTGAATTTGGAGATAGATCTTTCAACTGGCGTTTTATAATTGCAGATGTCAATAAAACTATCATTGGAATAGACTTTCATTCCCATTTTAACTTATTAGTCGGCAGTCAAAATGGGAAATTAATCGACGGTATCGCCTCATTGACGACTGAATGTTCTTTTATGTAACAATGGCGTCACTCCTAAATTCATTGCTAACACTTCCCATAACCAATGTACAGCCATTTTAAATAAATTTCCTAACATACTTAAATTATATAAATGATAATAACTTACTTAAATAATAAATTTAGAAAAAGTGATAAAATTAAAGAACATGATATGCAGCATTTCATGCACACCAAAAGAAAACTCATAGTCTCTTAAATTAGAAGAAAGTTGATTCCTGCGAAAAAGAAATTTGATTATCTGCTTTAAGAAGGTCTCTGCAAGCAATTCAAAAGCAGCTGGTCAAGTCCATTACATCTCACTTTAAAAAAAAAAAAAAAAAAAAAGTGGTGACTGTAGGTTATGCGGTGTTTATCGTGCACTTAATGCAAACACTATGCCACTACCATTTCTAAAGGAATACATAAATATTCTACATGAAAAAAGGATTTTTTAACCATAGATTTGATTATGGCCCACGAATGATATTCATGAAGCTGATATTCCGAAGACCGCCATCATAACATCTTTCAGACTTTTTGAGTTTCCTTTTATGACACTTCGTCTACGCAATGCTGCAAAAGTCTTCCAAAACTGGGAGGCCTAGATTTTGTGTTCTACTATTTCGATAACATTCGCATTGCTTCTTCAGACACAGAAACACACAAAAAGTTTCTTTATATGACAATTTTATTATAGTTTTATTATATGACAGTTTTTTTATATGACAAAAAGTTTCTTTATATATCTTTTACACACCAGAAACATACACACACACATATACAACAACAACAACAAAAAATCTTGATTAGTCTTCAGAAGCTTCAGTTGCAGACTGAGCAAAACATTGCAAAATGTGAATTTGGTCTGAGCAGAGTTCAGTTGTTAGGTTACGAAATATCAGCAGAAAGAATTAAACATCTTCCATCGAAAATTATTACAATTAAGCAATATCCTAAACCTGAAACCTTCACAAGCTTACACAGATTTTTGGGAACGGTTACGATTTACCATCAACCTCAGGTATCACTTGATACTAAACTGCGCCGATCTTGCTTAAAAGATTAAAGAAAAAAGCAAAAAAACCTTTAATTTGGGTCAGAGATGCGCAGAGGGCTTTTACTAATATGAAAAGCGCATTGTGCAATTCAACAGTGTTAATTCACCCTAATCAGAGACAGTGCAGGTCACTCTAACAACAGATTCATCTCATTCTGCCATGGGCACCATGATTCATCAAATATATAACGGTGAAAAACATCTGCTAAGCCTTTTTTCTCTCGATCCCTATCATCAACGCAGAGGAACTACAGTCCTTACGTTTCAGAATTACTTAAGATTTACCTAGTCATAAAGGATTTTAAACACATTCTGGAAGAACGATCATTTACTTTCTTCACTCATCATAAACCTATCACCCTTGCTTTCTAGAAGAATTAAGATAAAGCCTCTCCAAGACAACGTCTGGTAATTGAGATGCATTGCTGAATTAAGTACAGACACACAATATTCTGGAGAAGGAAAAAAAAAAATCGTAGTACCCAACAATCAAGAACTGGAACTATCACTACTTCATCAATTGATTATACAGTTATTGCAGACTGCCAGGAGAACGAAGACCTCAACGTTCTTAAATCTAATTCCATTTTCAAAATAATACACTGGATAGCAATAAGAAAATGAATATGTAGGCATGGAGTCAAAACAGATTGTAAAAGGAACGATTATTGCGTTCAATTTTATACAAGATGTCATCCGCCATATTGGCTGGG